TTCGGGCATAGTACGAGAAGTTGCTATGCACTCGGTGCCCTAATACATGAATATTAGTTTCATGACGCCCCATGATCCTATGATGCAGTATAGAAATGGAGAATTTACAAAAAAGTGTATATGATTGCTGAACAATGTGAGACCTGTGGAGGTAGTTAGCGAGCTGCTATGTGCCTGGAAGATGAAGCAATAAGATCATCAGGTAGACATAAGAATGACAACATTTTGATGATAGATCCAAGGTTGGAGATGGGCAACAGATGGCTTGATTGCTAGTAGCAAGATCTGGGGCAACCACAAGGATGGACCATGGACCGGAAAGGAAGTGTATAATACATCATCTGTACTTTGTTAAGCATAGGTATCTATACTAGATGAGAAGATGCACATAGTATGAGCAATCTAAACCACATGAAAACATTCGTGTATGACTATATTTTTTAGTATTAAAATATATCTGGATCAGGCCTCTGATTTAGTTGATGGGAGGAATGGAAGTTGGTTTGTCCTTTGTTGTCTTAGTAACATCTTCGGTGACTACTAAGATTTTGGCAAGAAGAGGAGGAGATACAATTCAATGGAAAAGGAGAAGATAGATATGATTATGAAATCCACTTAAAGCGGGTTTTGAATTGATCATTTCAACTAAATATAGTCATTCCACTAGAGATTTCCCCTCCCACTAATGGAGAGAGAGAAGTGGGCATTTCGAGGACAACAAAAAACTTCTAAGCTATGGTTCACTTGAATGGAAATTCCATCAATTTAGGAAAAATGGTACCTACATGGAATCCTTGCATGATGCCTCACCAATTTATAATTTTGTGGTCACGCATACTATGTTGTCGTTGTTGCCTTTTTTTCAGACTTTTCTGCTCTTTTTAGTTTCTCAAGTTCTTTTGTGATTGTCTTATCTATTTGGTTTTATTCACGTTGTCCAACCTATCCTGCAGGCTTGATAAAACTAAGTTCTATGTAGTAGGAGCTGGAATATTTACAGGGGTTACGGTTGCACTTTACCCTATTTCTCTTGTGAAGACCAGGCTGCAGGTTGCTTCAAAGGATGCTGTGGAGAGGACTGCATTTTCAGTTATCAGAGGCATACTGAGAACAGAGGGGATTCCTGGTTTATACAGAGGTTTCGGCACAGTCATTGCAGGAGCCATTCCTGCCAGAATTATATTTCTTACTGCATTAGAGACAACAAAAGTGGCTGCTTTTAGGATGGTTGAACCATACACATTATCAGAACCTACAAAGGCAGCCATTGCAAATGGAATTGGTGGCATGATAGCATCACTTTTTTCTCAGGCTGTATTTGTTCCGATTGATGTGGTATGTTGTCCATGTTTCTATATCCATGTTTTCTTGTCAGTTCAAATTGTATAAAAAGTTATTTTAATTGGCTAATCTTCTGATGGAGGGAGGGAGAATGTTCCAATCGTTGAGTGTTGCTTCATGCACATATCCATTTGCAAATTAGAACTTTCTGCAAAGCAGATATTAGAGTCAAGTTCCATATTGAGTTGTGGTTGAAGTCCAAGTAAGCTATGAATGAAATGATTTACAAATTCAATACCATTTTTTAAAGCATTTTAATCGCTCTTCTCAATATCGTATCACTGAGCATGTTCTTGATTTGGCATGTTTTACTTTGCTGAGGAGGCTAATCTCCACAATATTTGATTTAAACAGGTAAGCCAAAGGTTGATGGTGCAAGGATACTCGGGCCATGCACAATATAATGGGGGCCTGGATGTTGCTCGTAAGATTCTGAAGTCAGATGGCATTCGAGGACTGTATAGAGGCTTTGGTCTATCTGTTGTGACTTATTCCCCATCTAGTGCTGTATGGTGGGCAAGCTACGGTTCTAGCCAACGCTTCATCTGGGAGTGAGCCTTGCTGGTTTAGTTTCTATTAGTGTTAAATGCGTTATGGGAGCTTTTATGTATGGATCAGTGGTATATTTTAAACTTCAGTGCGTGCTGGCCTAACTAAAAAGTCTTAATTAATAAACACAAGTTCCTGATGTTGGGTTGCATTATATTTTTCTTCAAAAAATGGTGGTTTTTCATTTGTATGATAAATTTTATGCTCTCTTAATAATCTATTCACCATTTAGTATGTCATTGGGCAGGCTCTTAGGTCATGGCACCAGGCGTGATGAACCTACTCCAAGCCAGTGGTCGATAGTTTTGGTTCAAGCTGCTGGAGGGATTTTTGCAGGTGCTACTGCATCCTGCATTACAACGCCATTGGACACTATTAAAACTCGATTGCAGGTACACCTATTTGGCATCAAATATTATTGTCTGGTAGTTTTCAGTGCTTTTCGTTGCAGTTGGGAATTACAATGCTAGGACGACGAACTCCTTAGTCTCATGAACTTTTTTCGTTTTCTTCAGCTCTGAGTGTAGTTTTGAATCTAACTAAGCTTAGAACTATTACCATATAGAATTAGTCTAAACAATAGTGGGTTTAAATTTTTACAAACGACCTTACTTTTCCACGTGCTGTGATCATCTATTGCTTTCGTCTTCTCAAGAATGTAAATTGTCTTATTCCTCTGCTGATTTGTGGTCGATGGATGTCTCTATAATCAGCACACTTTACCTTGTGTAGTACTTGGAATAGCTCGTAGGTTTCCATAATATTATGGTATCCCTATAATTTGCTTCCTCTCATACTTCTTGTTTCTTTAAATAATGGCAGCTTTAAAATCGAAGTAGTACTGTAGAATCCCTAGGTGGTGCTATGTTATTTGAAAAGCTCAAGGGCTGGTATAGTAAAGGCAGCATCTCGCTAGTGCACATCTTTTTCATGATGAAACAAGTAAATGTACTTCAAAGTTGTGTAAATAGTACATCATGCAAGTTTTCAAACGTGACATTCATAGACGTAATGTTATAGTTTGGTTTGCAGCTCTACATGGCACCACGTGGCTTCTGTTGTCTGCTTGTTGTCTAATTAGTTGTTTCTGCATCATAGGTGATGGGACACGAAAAGAGACCCACTGCAAGACAAGTAGTTAAAGGATTGATCAAAGATGATGGTTGGACAGGATTATATAGAGGACTGGGTCCACGGTTTTTCAGCATGTCAGCATGGGGAACATCAATGATACTAGCCTACGAATATCTAAGTTGGGACACTTCCTTCTTTTTATAAAATTTGTCTATCATTTATTATTATCATCATCTTTCTTAAGAGGAAGTATAATGGGTTACTAGACAAAAGCTTTGGTCCTGTGGTAGCTTCTGAAAGGTGGATAGGGAGCCACTAATGGTTTCTTGCATCTTTTCTTGGCAAAGTAGCTCATGGGCTAATATTTACCTGGCCCTAGAGGAGAATCTAAAGATTTAGTGTTGAAAACCTTCTTGGCGCCGCATAGGCTGTCAGTCCAATTATGTGTCCTTTTCTGCATCCTCATTCCTTCCTCATGGAAATTTTAGTCAAATTTCCAAACAGTTATAACAACAGTGACAAAATATGGTAATACCATATTGAACCTTAGAAGTTTTTGCGGCCCTAGTTTCTTGCAGTCTCTGATATGCATATAAGCGACAAAATTCTTGACCCCCAACCCCCAACCCCCAACTCCAATAAAAGGCACATAATTATGCAAAGGGTGAACAGAATTTGTGATGTTCTCATTTGGTGAATTCATTTTGTTCTTCTATTAAAACTTCAATGTCATGTTTGTCTTTCAATACTGTGAATTATAATACCATTGGAATGTAGTTAATTTTGTGGCTTTATACATATATTTAATTATGCCTGTTAAGTGGAGCATGTGGTTATTTGGGGGCCTATGAACCTATTATTTTTGTTTTGATCTGCTGTCCTGCAAAGGTTAGAGGAGAGTATTAACTATGTGCAGTACGGTTTAAATCTTTATTGTTATCTTGCGATCTCTAATCAATTGATAGAAATGGGAGCTTATGTTGGCAGAGGGCCATATGAGTTAACCCTGGTGTTTGGTTATGGAACCTATGGATAAGTGGACCCTGTAATTTCATTATAATTAGAAAGGAATGTTGTTTCTATGGAACTTCTGAATGATGAGAAACGTTTTTTTCTCTTTTCCCATGCTTTTGCATTTTGTCCAACGTATCTGACATGGATAGCATGCTACTGTTTGTTCTGGTTTAAATTTGATATTCTGATGCTTATACATTTCTGTAGCTGGAACGGCAGTAACCTTGATTATCTGAGATGACATTACTCTATACTCAATAAGATCGAAGAATCCTTTGTCATGCTTATTTTCTACCCCATACAGTAACCTATGTTAATTTTGAAACAAGTTTCTCTAGTTGATTATGAAGCTATTGCCCAACCTAATCATGTTTCACTGTACTGGTCTTTTATCCTTTATACAGAGCGCGTGTGTGCAAAGGATGAATAGGTTCATTCCCAGTGACCTGCAACCATTGCTTCTTGTAAGGGACAGCAGAGATTTTAATTCTAGCTGCCTGAATTTAGACACATGATCGAAGATGACCGTGTTAAGATACTGGAATGCTTACTTTTCACTGCTAATACAGAAACAGGGCTCTAGCATTGTAGCATTTGTTATTCACTGGGGAGCAAACGCACTTGCTATTATAGCTGGATCCGTCTATCGTTATTTATTTTACTTGATGTAATTGAATCAGATTAATTGAAATCAAAGAATTTTGTTTCATGGGTTAGTGCCTGTAGTTTGTCTTCCCATTGTGTTTCTTTTTAGCATTCATTTGGAAAGGGAAAAAAGAAGTTTCAGTCATTAACTTTACAGAGTACGTTTTTTGACATCTTAGGAAGCCTAACCTCTAATTGGCTTTTCCAAAACAGCAGAGAAAAAGAGCTCATCATCAAGTTTATCTGTCTTTGGCACCACCCTCCACAGCAACTCTCTGTAGCCTAGTCTGGTGAATTCATCTAAATACAGCCTCATATCTTCCTTCTTACAGCAGAACCGGTCCACCCAAAGGAGTCCCTTTGGCCAAAGGACACGATCCCAATCAAACAGGACAAACTGGAGGAGTTCCAAGCTGATCCACCCATCCAAGAAGAGAGTAGAATGAACAATATCAAGTGCATTGTCAAAGAAAGGCAATCTTGAGCCGACTGAAATGTAAAGGGGAAGGAGGCCTCTTAGTGCAATCACCTCACTGAAAGGGGCACCTAAGTTCAGTGTAGCCGAAGCAATGGTAATATTTTTCTCTCTCATGATTGCAGCAAAAGTGCCGGTTGTTGGGGTGAAATCGAGACCTATTCGTATCTCTCCTGGCCTTAACCTTAGCACCTCATCGATGGTGAATTCAGCCGAGGCAGATTCATTTCTGGGATTTTCCTATCCCCGATTAGAAAGTTCAAAACAATCAGCACATTTGTAGAAGCCTCTTCTATCAATTGTCTTGTTGGAAACAAGACAATTATAGTTCTTGCACTTATAATTGTTCCATAAAATGTTAGCATCACTAGGTTGAGTCCAAAGGGAGGAGTTCAGATTAGCTGGCGTAGTGTAATGAGGAGGCGCCATTGAGAAGCACCTTCTTCTTGGTAATGGGTCACATCCACCAAGTATGAGCTTCTGAGCTAAGTCCCAATCATTTGGGCACATACCATCGATCTTGTAAGTCATGAAGCGATCTACAATGAAGGCCATAGGGGCGCAACCCAGTCCTATGGATGGATTGACTGCTTCCAGCCCAAGAAAATTCTTTTTCCCGTGAAATCTATTTGATTTGGGTGAAATGTAATTAATAAGCTCTGCAGAATTGAAGGCCTTTCCATGTAATGAACCTTCTTCAGCTTCACTTTGCTCAGGCTCACTGAGATCTTCATCTACTCTGCTCATTTCATTACCACCATCAGGAGCATTGCTTAAGAAACCTGACAAGCAATCAGCAAGCTTGTCTAAGGATATAGCAATGCTGAGGACCTGATCTGAAAATTTTGTTAAAGATTTTGATTCCGAACTTTCAATATGTAGATGATCCAACAGAGCTCCCAATTGGGACTGCAGATGAGAAATCTGGTTGTGGATTGAATGGGGTAAAACAATCTGGACATGGGAGTTATTGGCAGTGGAGGAAAAGAAGAACCCAGAGTAAGTGATATGGGAATTGTAGATGATCAATGTGATGAGGGTAGGGAAAAGAAGAAAACATAACATCATGTGAAGAGCCCTCCTGGAAGGCATTTTTGATTGCTTGGAGGTGCTCTGTTCCTGCATTTCTAAGATGGGTTTTATGCTTTTCAGTGCCTTGAACCCTCTAAGTGTATAGAATGAAATCAGCCTTTGACCTTGAAATTGGTTTTAGCTTGTTCTGTTTTACATTGTTTATGCATGATTTGATCTTCCCTAGATGCCTGATTTCATTCTATACACTTTTTTTCAACATGTGGATTTGTGAAACTTCAGATGAAAGCTTCTCGAGTTTAGCAGCTTCAGTAATTCTTTGTGCCTTTCGTAACCACTTGAGCTAATCCCAGATACAGAATTCAGTTCTTTTGTCGAAACAGGGAAAAAAAAATGACAATGGTTGTTAACACAACACGGAAACAATCTCTCTATTTACGGAATAAAACTGTATACATTTAAGGCTACCAAAGACAAATTTGTTCAATTTGTAGTTTCTCTCTGAATTCAACACTAGGGTTTTCTGTATGAACCCAAAAGTAGAAATTATACTGAACCTAAGGTTAGATTCATACTAAAGCTGATTTTAAAAAAGAAGAAGAAGAAGAAGGTAGAGACCAGTAAATTTCTACATGGAATGAAGCAAGAAACATAGACATACACTTGATATTCATGACATTTCATTACATTATTTTTACATACACCCAGAGCTAGAATCATATAAAGGTTGCAGAGAAAAGGAGAAAAAAAAAGGATGAAAAAGAAACCACATAGAATAATGATAGCTTCATGGGAGAAATTTTATCCCAGTAGTCGTAGGATCATGATGGAGGACCACGTTTGCATCGATTATCATAGCTACAGGATCTGCTGTGATCGTTGATCCGACGAGGTATGCAATCGCCGTACTGATCTGTATCACATACAGGTGATCCTCTTTGGAGAGAGTTGCGTGCACTAAGTTGACTGTTGGATTGAAGAATCCTTCTGCTCACTTCAGACTCCATTAGGAACTCTTGGTCGTCTTCTTCAATGCAGTCTGCGATGGTTCCATTGCACCTAGAGCTTCTTTTCTTCATCTCTGCACAATCAGCTCTTTCAACATTTGTGTTGAGCACAATTAGTAGAAGAACAGCTATGGAGAAGAAAAGACGTACCCTCTTGGGTTCCATTCTTGTCTCTTACTTTTCTTTTTTTTTTTTTTTTGTTGGGAGTTCTGCTAAATTTATGGGCTCCGAAGGTCACTAATGAGCTGGACACAGAGGACGGGTAAATTATACTAATAGTCCCTGAGGTTTATTATTTATTTAATTTTAATATTTAAATTTTCAATTTCTTCAATTTAATCCTCAAAGTTCACATATTGTACTAATGAGGTCCTCGCACTAACTTCCATCTAAATCATTGATGAAAAATTGCACTAATGACTTAATTACTTTAAATATCAGTCACATGCTTTGGCATGTGCTATATTTTCAGTCAATAAATGATAAATGCTAGGGACTAAATTGATAAAATTAAAAGCTCAAAGACTAAAATTCAATAAATGATAAATGTTAGGGACAAGTGACACAATTGATCATATAGAGCACACAGCTAAAGTTTTAAAGTATGGATAAGAAATGAACGGCAATTATTGGTCTTAAGATTACCAGGATGAGAAAAGAAAGACAGCTATTGGTCCTAAGATTAGGAGGATAATGAATGAAAGGTCATTGACCTCCAAGTGACTTTTCTGGTCATCTCGCCGACAACACCCTTGCGCCCACTAAGTCCGTCCCCACTCCCCGGCGGCTGTTATTCTTCACATATCCCTCACACTACAATAAAAATATCAATAAATAAAATAAAAATATTCATAAAGAACCAATAAAAATGATAATATTTTTGTATCGAATAAAAATAATAAAAATAATTATAAACAATGTGATAAAAACGCACGTAACACTGATAAAAATATTTATAAAAATAATAAATTAACCATAAAAGTCATAATTTTTGATTGTTATAAAATAAATCATAAAAATTAGGTGTACGGTACTAAATTTTTTTTTGCAATGCCAGTGTTAAGTCCAAAACTTAAAATCATGGACATGCCTATGGTACCGAAATTAAAATTTTGGTACCATACCAAAATTTATCACATTTGTGATAATTGTTACCATATTTGTGAGTAGTTTTGTCCCTGTTATGTGATACTCAAAAAAATAATAAAAATAGTTATTATAATAGTGGTAAAAAATATTTATAAATGTGGTAAATTATCCAAAAAAGTGACAAATTTTTTTATACTTAAAAGAGGTGGTAAAAATAATTACCACAAATGTAATAAAAATACCCACAAAAGTGATAAATTTTTTTATTATAAAATTATCCATTAAAGTTGTAAAAATATACTTTAAAGTAGAAATATTTGGAGGTATAAATTTTTTTTTGGCTCTACCATAATCAAGTCCTAAAACCATATTTGTGGAGAAAAGAATCCCGCTACGGTACCGATAATAAGTTTTTCGGTACCGTACAGAAAAACCAATGTGAGCCGTTGATGGATCTGCCAATCACTAAGGACCATTAATCAAGTTGTACTTTTATTTTTTATATTTTTCAATGCGGTAATCAGTTACCTCCTAAACAAGTGTGAATTAAAACAATTTAGGAAAAATATCAGTCAAGCTCTTTGTAGTTTATCATATCTTTAAAGACATCTCATCTATTATTAAAAATATTATTGATACCTCTTCTAGTTTATATTTAAACATCACTTTCTAGTTTATATTTAAACATCACTTTCACTCCTGTCATTAAACTACCATTTATAATAAAAATAAAATACCAAAATTGCCCCTACATAAATTCCAAACAATCTTTCTTCATAAAATTCAATTAAAATTCAAACCGATTAAAATACATTTTTCTATACGTTAAAATTCAACCCAACTAAATTTCTTTTTTTGTTACATATTAAAATTTGAGTCTATTAAAATTTGATTCAAACTGATTAATTTTATTTTTTTAACGTATTAAAATTTGAGCCTATCAAAAGTCTTTTACGTACTAAAATTCGAGCCAATTTAGGTTTTACTTGAACTGTTAGTCCCGACTAAAATTCACTTTGAATCAATTAAAATTCCATTCAACTAAATTAAATTTTTTTTATGTATTAAAATTTGAGTTAATTAAAATTTTATTTTTTTTATGTATCAAAAATCAAACCGATTAAAATATAATGCGAGTTGATTAAAATTAGTTTTAAGCCTATAATATAATTTTAATCGGTTCAAATTTTAATACGTAAAGAAATATAATTTTTAATCGACTTAAATTTTAATATATAAAAAAAATATTTTAATTAGCTCAAATCAAATTTTAATCTTTCCGAATTTTAATACACACAAAAATTTAAAAAATAGGGGGGATTTTATTGAGGATATGTCTATCTATAGGGGGTTTGGATGAAATTTTTTCTAAAATATATTATGGGTAATTTAGTAAAATTATATTCTAATTAATACATTTAATCTGACAAGGAATGTCATTAAAAATTTAAAAACGAAAAGGAATGTCCTTAAAGTTATAGTAAATTAGAAAAAGTGTGGGCGAAATTTTCTAAAAGTTATATAGTCTTACAATAGGATAGGGAGATAGTACAAGTCATGACTTATATTGTAAATTTTTCACTAATATTTTAAATTTTTCATTGATATTATAAATTTTTTTCTATTATTATAAATTTTTTATTATTGTTATAAATTTTTCACTACTAATGTTAGTTATAAATTTTTCGGTATATAAAAAAGTAACCGGTGAAAGCAGTTGTCTTACTTTTTACTTTTACACGTGGCATGATCTGCTATCTTCTGTACGTAACAACTTTTTAATATGATACCAAAAAATTTAAAACACCGTATTGTAGGTTAGTCCAAAAAGTTAAAACTAAAAGGACGAGAGAAGTAACATCTTGTGTCAGCACAGGTATGCATGAGGGGAGAGTGATAAGAGGAGTGATGACGATGCCCACTGGTTGATATTTTTTTGGACCATCGAATGAAGAAGAAGAAGAAAATTACATATATAGTAGAAAAGGGTGCTAAAAACCTGACTCATTTGTCTTTGTCTCTGTCTCTGTCCTTGTCTTCTTCTTGGTGGGGAATCATAGAATATTGGGATTGAGGGCAACCTGAGTTACACCTCCCCCATATGTGTATTGTCTCGACGGAACAACTTTACATATTGATGGTAATAATAACATTATTAGAATATGATGCCAATCAAGCATCATATCTTTTTCGATAGAGATAAAAATTTATGGTATATATAAGTTATTATTTTTTTTTAAAAAAAAAAAGACAGATAAATATATATCAAACATTCATTGAACATGTATAATTTATTTGTTAGTAATAGCGTTGAAAATTTTCTGATAGGACATATTGGCCAGTAAAGCCTTTGTAAAGAGATCAACTCTGTCATACACAACATGAAAAAAACCAACTCATTCAGATTGTAGTGTAGCATTACTGCTTTAAGTTGGATGTTCCTAAAAGAGCCTTGATTTGCTCAAAAGAAAACATTGTTTACTGTCACTACACGCACTTCTTGGTAGCGTTGTTCTCATGTTTGCCAAAAGAAAAAAAAATTGGGTACTGTACTAAAAGTTAAAATTTTAAAAGGGAAGGTAATTTTTTTTTTAAAATATCGGTTAGGGATATTCAGACCAGATTATGTATACTTGGATAAATTCTTTATTCGATTCAGTCAAAAACAGGTTATCCACGTTGAGATTAGAGTATTCATCGACTAATTTTTTCTTCAATCCAGTCAAAAACAAGTCATCTATGTTGGAATTATGATATTTATGAGGGATAAATCTCTTATTACCTAGTCCTAAGGGTCGTCAAGATTCGAATTTAAAATGTTTGAATTTAAAAATGGAAGGTATAACTTTTTAAGATAATTCAATAATTCACGATGAATCATAAACTATTATATTCAGTGGTGAATTATTTTAATTAATTATAATTTTTATTTTATGAGTTATAACTTGATTTTTTAAAAGTAATAATTGTTATGATTAAACGCGTTTAGAATTGTAGTCTAATTGTCCTGTTTAGATTTTCTTTCCGAGGGCCAGAGAAAAGGGGCTCCTTTTTCTGGCTAGGCTTCTTGCAAAGATGGTCAACTCTTTGCAATTGTTTTGCTAGAATCATTGTTCATCAACCACCTAGTCTAACGATTTTCTGAGATCTTTCTCACGAAAATTCTGAATTTTCAGTCTTGAAACTGAAAGAGATTATTTCCATTCAGAGTCATCGGGGACTAAATATACCCAGAATTTCATTCTTCTTGTCATTTTTTCAAACACTGGATGGGCAAAAAACATCATTTGGACTATACTTCCCGATCCATAATGGGGGCTGGAAGTGAAAGGGTCTCTCTCTTGAATAAAGATGTAAGCTTCGTTATCAACCCTTCTTCTTCTTCTTTGATTGGTTCTGCCAGATTATTTGTCATAGCTTTATCTGGGTTTATGTTATTCTGAAATCTTTGATTCGCCAGTTTTTCAATTTCGGCATTCTTTCTATTACATCTACCTCTCATGTTTGTTGAATTTTTGACTGTTTTAAGTGAAACCATGTTCTGGTTGCATCTTTGCTTGCTTACTGGATGACCCAATTCGAGATTTGGGTTATGCTAAATTTCAGCGGTTTTTTCTCACATATGGCTGTATTTAAAGAGCTGGTTTTTGAAATACCTCGAATTATCTTGTGAATTGTGATTATAGGATCTTGAAAAACATTATTGTGCTGCATGCTGCATTAAAAGGCGTATTACGATTGAAAGTCTGCCGTTCTTGACTTTTTTGGTGAAAAAAGCTTGTTATCACTTGTTTCATAGTTCTTTAGAATCAGTTTACTGAAAGAAGTATCAGAGTCCTCTAAGACTTAAGAAGGTTAGTTGCAAGTTAATCATAGTTTAAGTAAAGAGTAAATCTCAAATTTGGTTTAATTTATTACACATTTATTTGGTTGATCGTCATTTCCCATGTAGATAAAACTGTACAATGTTGCAATACAGAAGACTATGAAAGGTCTTCTTTATTGTTCTCAGGGTGGGTGAACGTCAATTTGCATTTATATTTGTAGGCTCGGAGGCAGGCGAATGGGGCAAATGATGGTCCTGCAACAGACCTTGAGCATGGAGATGGCATACAGGTGATCACTAATCATGTTATTGAAGTCTGCAGTTTTGTTCTGCCTACTTTGGTTGCTTTTTTGTAAGACATTAACTTTGTTCGTACAATTCAGGCAGCAAACGTTGGATTTGGTAGAGTATTCTCACTGGTGAGTGGAAGTATAATTTTAAGAAATTCGAAGACAGAGCCATGTTGTGGCTTCATACTAACAATTGAGATTTCTCTTTTATATGCAGGCAAAACCTGACGCAGGGAAGCTAATTATTGGCACTATAGCACTGCTGATAGCATCCACCACTAGCATTCTCATTGTATGCCGTTCTCTGTACTGGTTCATCTACTCTGTCCCACACCCCCTTGTCAACATAATCAATCTTTGTATGATACAAATAACATATAGTGGACACCCATTACCATCTTAACTGCCAGTGGCAGTGAGAAAAATGTGCTGCCTCATAAATGAATGCTGATATCTTAAAATTACCTTCTACTCTATACCATTGGATGAACTACTAAATCTGTAAGTTCCTCCAGTCCACCAACAAGAAACTAATTGCACAGACTTCCTTTATTCTCTTCATGATGAGCAGTGAAAAACTTGGTACTATATCTATCCTACAAATCTACACGTGCAGAATAGCTTTTATGCAGAATCCTTTTCCTGTTCTCATGAAAAAATTGAATATGACAAAGAATGTATTATTAAGCCAAAGTCAGCATAGTTTGTAACCACTCGAAAAACACTACAAAAAGTTCACTAACCTGCCTCCTCACTAATATTTTCCTGCTTCCACTCCTAGGACCAGGAAACACTAGTTAAATATAATACAACATGGCAGTTTCTAATTCCATTCGTGAAGTGGTTAGATAAGATCCAGGGACCTTATCAGCCTCACTTTTTCTAATAATACCTGCAATGCTCAAACCATCTAGTTTAAAGATCAGTTGTCCATTAGTTTCTTTGTGCTCTTAGAACCCTGCTTGTGATCTAAAAAGGTAAAGCACTTGATCAGAGACAGCTAAGATTTTTCTACTTATGTCCCTAAAGCAGCGTCATTTGGATGGACTCAAATGGTGCCATGAGACCTTTGGCTTTCCAGTATTAACTTCGCCATGTTTGAGAGATATCCAGGCTTTGAGTTTCAAGCTCCTGAAGCTTCTCATTTTAGATATGCCTTACCTGTAGATCATAGAGAAGTCTGACGATGCATGATATTGAATTTGTGGACCCTTACGTTAACTAGCTTGTTGCAGAGAAACTCGATTCTTTTGTTTTTTGGTCCAATGAAAAAAAAAAAAAAGAGAGAGATGTGGACACGAATGCACTCTTTGTGGAGATGCATAATATAGTTAAGATAATGGCTAGCCCTTTTTTGGCTTGGACTTGATACTGGGTGGACCATTCATGTATGTTATCAAATGGGGATGAAGACATGGATTTTTACACAAGGGTAGGTATCTGTAGCAAACATGCAGTTGCATGCGTACATGAATGCTTTTATAATGAATCGTATAATCTGATAAACTGTAAGAAAGGTGTCCATAGGGGACCATGAAGCCACAGGTCCACAAGTGAATTTTTGGACATAAAAAGTAGCTGGGTAAATATTATGAAGGTTTGCTTTTAGCATGTTCCTGTGTTTGTTTTATTGCAGCCAAAATATGGTGGAACGATAATCGACATTGTATCAAAAGATATAAGGACCCCTGAACAGCAAAATGATGCTTTGGATGACGTCAAGAACACTATAATAGCTATGGTTTCCATAGTCGTTATTGGGTATGAAAATTCTGCCTCAGTCCTTTCTCTTGTTTAATATGCATGGTTCTGATGTGTGTATATTCATGAACTACATTTGCGTCCACTTTCTCTATGGTAAATGACTAAATAGCTATTGGGCATTGGATTGGATTTGAAAAGAGTAAATTGCAATTTTGTTGCTGTAAACTACTTTGCTTTCATCAAGTCTATTATAAAGTAAGTGCATTTGATTTATGAGGATGTTTTACAATTTAATCCTGTTCTTTTGTTTTGATTTGCTATATCAATTTATCTTCTTTCCAACGGGAGGGCAAATTCTCATCTAACATGCACTAATCTATTACCTTTCAACCTTCTTTGTGACAGTGATTAGATTGATTTTACATATGATACTATAAATCACATCTTGTTTGATCATTAATAGTTTCAAAGGTATCATATAACCTTAAGTTATTTTTAGTTCTCTGTGCACAGCACTTCGGTCATGGTTGTTTTCTTCGGCTAGTGAAAGGGTTGTTGCTCGTTTGAGGAAGGATTTATTCAGTCACCTTATCCAGCAAGTAAGCACCATGACTCCATTTCCCTACATATCTGTATCATCCTGTGACATCTATAATTGCTTAAGCTTCCTTTTTAATTGGTCTTGTGGTTCCCATGGATCCTTGTATTTACATTTTTCTATCTGCAATTAATATCTTTAGCATAATAAAAGCACTTGAAACAGCAGTTTACTTGACGTTGAAGACCACGGGATCTATCTCAAAATAGACTCTAGTAATTTGTATGCTTAGTCTTTATTTCCATTTGAAACAATGGCTGATAGATGATATTACTATGTTTAACAGGAGATCGCCTTCTTTGATGTTACTCGCACAGGAGAACTCCTGAGCAGGCTATCTGAAGATACCCAAATCATAAAAAATGCTGCAACTACCAATCTCTCAGAAGCACTACGAAATCTGACTACCGCACTTATTGGAGTTGGCTTCATGTTCACATCATCCTGGAAGTTAACATGTGAGTGATTAGTTTCAGTAGAAATATTTGGTGTACTACAGTCCTAGTACACTCATTGTATTTTCCTTCTCTTGCTTGTTCAGTGCTGTCCTTGGCTGTCGTTCCGGTCATTTCAGTTGGCATACGTAAATTTGGGAGATTTCTTCGTGAACTTTCTCATGAAACTCAAGCTGCAGCAGCAGCATCTGCCTCAATTGCTGAGGTATATGTTTATTGTGTAATGTATCTGCCTCAAGCTGCGGCTGCAGAATTTTTGTAATCAAAATTGATTTTCAGGAATCTTTTGGGGCCATTCGAACTGTGAGATCCTTCGCACAAGAAAGTTATGCAATTTCTAGTTACTCAGAAAAAGTTGATGTGACCCTGAAGCTTGGACTTCGACAAGCCGTGAGTTCCTTGACATGCTCTCTCTCTCTTCTTTTCCAATATTAAAAATTGGGTATGTATACATGTGACCATTTCTGAGCTTTGAAGCTTCAACTTGCCTGCCGCAGGGAATGGTCGGTTTATTTTTTGGAGGCTTAAATGCAGCATCTACTTTATCTGTCATCGTGGTGGTTGTTTATGGTGCTTGCTTGACAATAACAGGATCCATGACTGCAGGCGCCCTCACATCCTTCATTCTTTATAGCCTCACAGGTTCTCCCTTGATTTTCAGTCCTGTCAAATATACAGGGCAGATTTCATTAAGTTTTTCCCCTCCTGTTGTTGATGGGGAGAAATCTGAATTTATTTATATGGAAACTGACTAAATAGTTAAACTTTTCCCAAGTAAAACAATACAAAAATGGGAGTCAATTTAATGAAACTTAGAATCATGTCATGGGACTGTTCTCTGCTAAAAAATGTCTGTACCACCATGATTTGTTGTTCTATTTTATGTAGAAGATGGCACCCAAATAAGAATATTGAGATCAATGATGAAACATGAAAAAGAAACGAGAAATAGTTCTATTCTTGAAACTAAGAGGCAGTAACTGAGAGAGAAACTATGTGGTTTTTTTTTTTTTTTTTTTGTGGAGTGGAGTAGTGTTATCAGAACCGGACCTGACCGGTCCAACCGTGATCCGGGGCCTTAGCCGGTCCGGCTCTCTAATCGGACCGCATAAGGAAGAGAATCAGCCGGTTTTTATAAAAAATCGTAAACCGGCGGTTTTTATAAAACCAGACGGTTTGAAGACAAATGACTTAAATCCCATTTATTTGGGCCATTTCTTTTGCCCTAATCGCAGAAGCACCGCTCCATTCCCAGGCGACCAACGAGCCCTCCACCCCCTCTCTCTCCCTAAACCCCTCCACTCCCAGGCGACCATCGATTTCTACTCAGGCGATCATCAACTTTTGCTCAGGCGACATTGCTTGATTTCTGCTCAGGCGACCATCGATTTCTCCTCCTTTCTCCTTTCTCACGCACATAGTGCTCAAGCGACATTATGAAATGTTTAATTATTGGTTTTGTGCTCAGGCGACATCATATCTCCTTTCTCCTCCTTTTGTTTTAGGGTTTCTACTCCATTTTATTGTGGTGGTGTCTATTTGCGATAAATTAGAAATTTGCATGAGTGGGCTAATGTAGAGATATCTATTTTTTTTGCCCCTTCGGCCATTTGTTTTCCAGTAACGCTAATACAAATTATATTCATTTCCTTTTCAAATTTCTCATTGTATGTGTAGATTTAATCATTGATAATATATGCTAAACCCTGTGCTTGTTTGCCTGAAACTCGAAGTCGATTTTGATGATGGTGTATTGATTTGTATTGCTTATATTTTAAGTTGTATCCCATCTGCCAGTGTGTCTGATAAATTAGTGTGTCACTCTTCTCAGATACGCGCCTTACATTGTGCATTTTAGACTTTTTTTATAACTTCATAAATTTTATGGCAAATTGTATGCATTTTAGACATTTTTTAGCTAAATTATTATATTTTATAATTATTATATATATATTTTTATTTTTTATTATATGACCCGTTCGACCAGTTAACCCAACGGTTGAACCAGTGAACTATTGACCCGGTCCCCTTGCCGGTTTGATGACCGGTCCGGTTCTGATAACATTGGGGTGGAGGATGAAAACAGTTAAAGGAAAGGATTAGTAATTTAGGGAGATCATATAAAAATTACACCAAACTTCGAATGTAAAGATTTTAATTTTTGCTCTGTCAGGGAGGGGATATGGTCCCCCAGCCTCCGTCCGTGCTTGGTGGTGCCACCAATTGAGGACAAAAGATGGGAAATATTCCAAGATGGCTAGGTCAAGTGTGACATAAGACCTATGGATGTGGCCATGTGGATTGAGTCATCTGATTTAAATTGGTGATGATGTGAGGACAAGATTGAGGATTAAAAACTATTTAGGAACGAAGAATAAGGATGTTATCACAAAGCATACGGCTCTAGATAGGGCTAAATGATTAAAAATGGCTTGTGTAACCAACCTTAATTGATTGAGGTTCAAGGCTTTGCCTAGTCAAGTTGAACTGCTTTGCTTGTGAAGGTTTTATTGTACTGATCAATGTTTCTATTTATGGTTTAAACTTTAAACCAGTCTTGAAATCTTTAGCTAAGATTCACATATCTAATAGGTCCTAATACTGTAGTACTTTTCCAAGCTAACAAAGTTTAATGCCTTCAATGCACCAAACATTTACCTGCAGTTGGATCTTCAGTATCCTCACTATCTGGATTATATACAACTGCAATGAAAGCCGCAGGAGCAAGTAGGAGAGTTTTTCAGCTTTTAGATCGCGTCTCCAGCATGCCAACTTCAGGAGATAAATGCCCTATTGGGTTATTCTCTCTCTTCTCCCTCCCCTTCTCTGAGGCACACAGACACACACATGCATGTTGGTTTCATTCCTTTGCGTAGTTTGGAAAGTATATTTATTTATTAGTTGTGTTGTGGCTTTATTTGCAGCAATCCCGATGGGGATGTCGAATTAGATGATGTTTGGTTTTCTTACCCTTCTCGCCCGAGTCATATGGTGCTCAAGGTATTAATTTTGCTTGGTTAAAATCATCTGCAACATATGGACATTGTGAGCTGCCAAGGATGTCTATAGTTTCCTTTTCCTTACTCCACTATGTTTTTGTTTAAGTAGCAGAGTACAGCAAATATAAAGATTTTAGGTTTTAGTGTTTGCTAGTAGCAAATTTGCCTATAATAGCGAAAGAACAAAAACAGACTATCCTTGGCAGTTTGGTAAAATTTAGAATGGTTGTAAAAATCCAATTCTGTTTCTCTAAAACTGTATTTTTTTTATTGTTCTATAAATGAAGTTAATATCAACATTATACGCGAGCCAAACTTTTTGGAATCTCTCTTAAGTGTATTTGTCTGAATTGCAGGGGATATCACTAAAACTGAGACCTGGTTCAAAAGTTGCCCTTGTTGGTCCAAGTGGTGGTGGAAAAGTATTATTTTTACCTCTATTTTTTCCCAATTGGGGCATCTTCTATCTTCGGATTCATAATGTGGGCTTCTAAATGAACTGGATCTTTTACTACGTGAAGTCATTTACCTTTTTGCTGCAGACCACAATAGCTAACCTGATCGAAAGGTTTTATGACCCGCTCAAGGGAAAGATTTTGTTGAATGGGGTCTCCCTAGTAGAAATATCTCATGACTACTTACACAGAAAGGTACTCTTTTACAATATTTTTTGTCTACAATATTACTATATCTTGGTCCTAGAAAGTTATACCACTTAAAATAAAAGAACTGAAAGTCACTCTTATCGTGAAGACTGTGAAGCATGGTTTGACCTATTTTTCTTTTGCACATGTTTTATCATATGCCAAGTTTACTAGTAAACGAAACATGGATGACTCGTTAAATTACGATGTTCTGATTTGTTTAGAAACCCACACCACTGTAGCGTTCACATTGGTTATCATAAACCATTTTTGTGTTTTTAGTGCATCATGCATTGATCTTACTATGTATAAGTGTTTACATAACCCCATTTCCATCTTCGAATCATAGGTCAGTATAGTGAGCCAGGAACCTGTTCTTTTCAACTGTTCCATCGAAGAGAACATTGCTTACGGGATTAATGGCAAAGCCAGCAGTGCTGAGATTGAAAATGTGGCTGTAAGTTTGCTGCTTCTATTTCTTTTCATTCGCTTTGTAATTCTTCTTCCCCTGTTGCACTTTCATGTGTTTATTTTAATCACAAATGGTTGCTCTACTCAGCTGTTCATTCTGCACCTATGGATACTAATTGATTTATTATACTGCAGAAAATGGCTAATGCCCATGATTTTGTAGACACATTTCCAGAAAAGTATCAAACTATTGTAGGAGAACGTGGATTAAGGTTGTCAGGAGGCCAGAAACAAAGAATAGCAATTGCAAGAGCACTGTTGATGAATCCAAGAGTTCTGCTGCTGGATGAAGCCACGAGTGCTCTGGATGCCGAGAGTGAATATCTAGTACAGGTGAGATTAAAATAATCCGTTGTTGGTGCACTCACACTCACACTCGCACTCACACATCCATACCAAATGTCTAATCCTTGGTATACATATCCAATGTCTCAATTTCTCAAGTCTGAAGCATGTTTTTTCTTAGTGGACATTCGAATTTGCGTTGTTTATAATGCTGGTGTTATTAGTAGGCCCATCCAACTAAATGGATGTCCGTATCATCCTTGCTTTCAAATGATCTTCTCCCTCTTGAATTTTCTCTTACTCGATCACATGCCATTTCTCCTTTTGTTCTGCAAATCAAGGGAACCTACATTTAAAACCTCGTACTTGACTATGACTTGTTGTAAATTTGTGACATAATAACAATATTATGCAGTGTGTAAACCTATCATTTTCTCTCTCTCTACAACTTCCTTAGTTACCCAGGCAAACATTTTGTCATTTTCCCTTATCTTCATTTACAGTTTACATTTCAATTCAGTACTGCAACATTCTTATTGGATTTTTGTATCTTTTAAGGTACAACATTTAGCCTTTTTCATCCACATTTTCGGCATTTTATTATATTCTTGACAAGATACATCTAACGACTTATATATTGTATAGGATGCGATGGATTCTCTAATGAGGGGCAGGACTGTTCTTGTTATAGCACACAGGCTTTCCACGGTCAAAAGTGCAGACACAGTCGCCGTTGTATCTGATGGTCAGATAGCTGAAAGTGGCACCCATGACGAGCTTCTCGACAGAGACGGTATTTACACTGCACTTGTGAGGAGGCAGTTGCAAGGAACCAAAAATGAAACCTAGTTTGACAAGTTCAGAGGTTGAAGCACAATTCACTGAGGAGCCGATTGAATAAATACATTGCTCGGTTTATATATGTCTCCTTATGTAACGAGTAATTTCATAATCCCTGGAAAAGAACTTCTTGATAATACAAATATCGAATCTGTTAACCTGCTTAAGGTCACTTCAACTGTTCTCAGAACTTGTAGTCAATATAAGCGGACAATACACCAAACATAGCTCCACACACACACACACACACACACAAAGTGGTTAGTCGTGCAACTATCACTAGCCGAGCTAGAGCTAGAGCTAGAGTTACTGCATTGCAGATTAGTCGACCTCTTTGACTACTATCAATTTGCTTGGCCAGTTGTCTTACAGTTGTTTTGGGGGGCCTGTAGAACCAACTGCCTCACCTCTCCTTGGAATAACCTCTCTCTCTCTCTCTCTCTCTCTCTCTCTCTCTCTCTCTCTCTCTCCATGGCTCGTTGTTTCACGGGATAAACAAAATGGCCCAGATTACAGCTAATATGTTCATTAAAGACACTGGGTGTGTAAGAGGTTGAACAACCGATCGGGATTACATACATGATACAACTAATAAAAGCAATATAGATATGGAATAAAAAAGTTTAAATGTAAATCATGGTTCTCTGAATGATAAAACCCTCATGTTTCGTTTGGTACGAAAAAAAAATAGAAGGAAGTTAAGTTTGAATGATAGAAAGTTAGAGAAATAAATAAAACATCATGTTTAATAAGGAAGGAATATAAGAAAGATGAAAAAGTTAATGGATTAATTTTCCTTTCAACTCATCAAAATCAATCCCTCTAAAATCGGAAGGAAATTAGATGAAAAATTAATTATTTGTATTGAGATGTATCTTATTTGTCTATTAGTAATTACCCATGCCTGAAGGCACTACATTACTCATAAAAAATTGTAAATATTTTTTCATAAATAAAGGCAATGTATAATATAATTTCAACAATATAACGATCAAATTGATATTGTTCAACATGTATGCAGAACATATATAATTAAACCTTTATATAACGAAAGTTACGTATAACTACTACAACATATTAATTCAAAAATTTGAGAAAATATAATTATTGTTGGTTAAACATCCACAATTTTAACATTTTAAATAAAATTTATCTCAAATTTCAAAAAAATATAACTATTTGTTTATCTGCAGGTTTCTAGCTAAAGTTCATAGCATTATCTCTGCACCATTTTTCTAATGTGAGTTCGTGTAACTTTTGTGAGGAAAACATCCAAAAGTTTCATATGAATTCTCGTAGATGTACAAAAATTTGTTGAATAATTAAAATTAGTTTTCACTTGAGTTCAACTTAAATATTCATAAAATTTAATTGAATTTAAGTTTGGGTGGAGCTATTCCCACTCCACAAATTTCTATTCCCACCCCATTTAATTCCTCATTATCAAACTACTAAACCCACTCTTTTATACCCACCTCATTAGTAACTAAATCCACCACATGCTACATACATCCCGTTTAATAAGTAAAATCACCTTATATTTTGTCATAATTAAGGTTTCATTCTCTATTTCATCTGATGCACTCACAAAAATATTTTTTAATATGAATTTTTCCAATGAGATACATGTTAGTATTACTTTTCAATTTAATTATATATTTGATTTTTCTATTTGTTGTAAGAATTTTTACTATTTTTGGTATGTTTTGATATCTCTGTCAAGTTTAATAATTTTTTATTTAAAATGTATATGTGTGTATATATATATGTTTGTTTTTCAGATTATTTGTTATTTTTTTTAATCTTGTTTAGGTTTTGTATCTATGCTTCTTATTTTTTTTCTTGTTCTATTTTGCATTTGTGCTTGATATTTTTTTTTCATGTTCGATTTTGCGTCTTGTGGTTTCACGTTTTGTAGTTTTATTTGTTCCTTTAATTTTTGCTTGATTTTTTTATTCCTTCTTATTTCGGTTTATTATTATTTTTTTTGTTCCTTATTTCGTTCATTTCTTTTTAAAATAGATGTATGTAGCATGAGGTAGATACAAAAATGGTAGACTTAATAGTTTAATAATGAAAAATTAAATGGGGGTGCGAATAGAGATTTAGGGGTGGGAATAAAGTTTTAGCAAGAATTTATACTTTATACACGACAGTTAAATTCAGTTTAATTCGAGTCTTAATTATAATTACGTAAAAATTGAGAATTGAATTTAAGTTCGACTTAATTAATACTTCTATCTTAAATCTATAAAACTAATTCTTATTTGTTTCTGTTCACTGTAATGTCATAACTTCTTCTCTTTTTTTTTTAATTTAGTTATTCGTTATTATTTTTATAATCAATTTTACTTTGCCTTCAACTTGAATACTTGTAAAATTCAAATAAAGTTAAATTTAAACAAAAAAATATATTTTATACTCGACAATTAAATTCAGCTCAATTTGAATACTAATTATAATCACTTTGAATCGATAATCGACTAAAATGAAATTGGGAGGAGGAATTTCGATTGTTTGATCAATAATCTTAAAACAATCTAAGTCACGAAAAACTTAAAACAAATAATGATAGTCCCCTTATTATATAGACATATCACATTTTATATATATATATATATATATATATGATACCAAAATATAACAAAGTGCGGAATACATGTGAGTACTAGGAGAATCACAAGATGTAGATATGAATGTGACAAAATAATTTTTTTTTATAAAATTTCTTATTTAAATGAACAAGATACAAAATATGATAAACAGAAATAAATACTTACAATACTAGCACTAAGTGAGCTAGTAGTGAAAGAGGATAGGGGAGAAACTTTTCATTTGTATTATGAAGAATTTTTACAAAATATGGGATAGTGAATTGTGTATAGGGAAGGCTTATGGGAGCTTTCGAGAATAACTCTAAGAAGGTTTTTCTTCTGGAAAAAACTCTTACTTGAATGAGAAGATTGAAGTCCTTATATAGAGGTAAGGAGCCCTGGAGGAATCTTTTTAAAATATTTGCTCCGTTGTCTTCTTTTCTGCTTTAACTTTAGGTAAAGTATTTCACTTTAATTTTTCGGTGGAAAAGTGGAAGTAAATTGCTTTCACCCGGGTAAATGCAGACTTTTAGTGACAGGACTATTGACTTTTGTGGCAGGTGGGTCCTAATGCTGTCTGGAGGAATCTACTTTCGGTAGAAAGCAGATACTGAAAGTGACTGACGACTACTTTTAATAAAAAGGCCGTTGAATCAAAATAATTCCTTATCAATATATGTAACAGACAACTTTTCTTTCTCTAGTTGGAGAAAGAGTAGTGAGTGAAGCTATCACATATATGGACAAGTATCATTATGGGGTATAAATATCTACCAAATCATCATAATCGGCATAGGGATCCTGACTGTCTTGGAAGGGATCCAATGCTGGCGAGACTGATGCCTGTGAGAATGTTGATGAGCTGTCTTCACTAGCGGCTTGCTGAAGAAACTGGTGAGCTAACTTGATAAGTTCTGCAGACTGCTTCTTGGATTGTTTATTGGAGTCCTTAGAAGAGGACTTCTGCTGTTTTGGTTTTTCCTTGATGGATTTCTTTTTCTCTTCTGGAGTAGAAACCTTGAGAGGAGGCATGACTTGCGTAATTGGAGTTGCTATTGTGGAGGTTACCGGTACCGCTGCTGGGGTTGGAACCTTGACTGGGAACTCCTGTTGGACAAGTCTGATTATTGGTTCTTACTGGACAAGTTTGATTATTTTTGGCACTGTTCATAGCCATTGGAATCACAAAAAAATAGCAATCCACCAAGCACTAGTCCTCAAATCACACAACCCAAGAATATATTCTTCCTCCAACTAAATTACTGCG